ATCTAGTCCATTTATATTAATTACCAAATATGACAACAGCTATAAATACATAAAGTAGTCCATCATGTCCATGGACCTTCTAAATATTTATTCTAAAGATTTTATTTTTAATCAATAACATATTGATAAGTGACTCAGGAAATAAGTAATTTAAAACATAATTATTGTCGTGAAAGTATAAATGTTCTTTGATACGCGTGTCTGAGGAAATGTATGTCAAGTTTCATATTCGATGTTACTAAAAATATTTTTTCTTGGAAAATACCCAAAACTGGTGTTCAGATAATAACTTTAGTTTCCTTCCTTTACAAATCAAACTTAATAATATAGATGGAATACATAGGAAAGTGGATTCTGGTTAAATGTCAATGTCACAGCAGCTAAAAATAGACTGAAAATTAAGAAATATGACATGCGAGTCTTCATTTCTATGTGATTATCTGATGTATATATTTGTTTTATTTCAATGAAATTTATACAGGTGGTAGATGAATAGTTGCAATCAACAACAACAAAATTTCTACAGGGGTAGTTCCCCAATTAGAAATTGCAATGGAAGGAATTCTCGGTTTATTTCAATGTCATGTTTTTTGATAATTGGGGACAGGACAATTTTGTTTGCCTCCTCCTTTTTTTCCAAAAAAATTGCCAGTTATTTTAGTTTTCTCTAAATTTCAGTTATTTTCGTGTTTTTCTGTGGGTTTTTTTTTATCCACAGCGGTCATATATAATATATTTACAGTGCTATATATCAGAATAATTTTTATAAAATGCTTCGCAGGGCGCAGCTTGATACGACCGCAGAGGTCGAACCCTGAACAGTTGGGGCAAGTATGGACACAACATTCAAGCTTGATACAGCTTTGCATTTGGATTGTGATTAAATATTTGACACAGCATAGGTTTCTGACACAGAATGAATGTGATCTAAGAACTTAAAAATTTTAAATTGGACATTCACCTATTATGGTCCAATATCCAAAATCTAAATACATGGTTAGATTCAGCATATCAAAGAACCCCAAGAATTCAATTTTTGATGAAATCAAACAAAGTTTAATTTTGGACCCTTTTGACCTCAATGTGGACAAAGTTGATAACGGGGCCCAAAAATCAAAAATCTAAATACATGGTTAATTTCAGCATATCAAAGAACCCCATATATTCAATTTTTGTTGAAATCAAACAAAGTTTAATTTTGGACCCCGATTTGGACCAACTTGAAAACTGAGCCCATAATCAAAAATCTAAATACATGTTTAGATTCAGCATATCAAAGAACCCTAAGAATTCAATTTTTGTTAAAATCAAACTAAGTTTAATTTTGGACCCTTTGGACCATAATGTAGACCAATTTGAAATCGGAACCAAAAATTAAGAATCTAAATACACGGTTAGATTCGGCATATCAAAGAACCCCGATAATTCAATTTTTGATGAAATCAAACAAAGTTTAATTTTGGACCCTTTGGACCTCAATGTGGACCAATTTAAAAACGGGGCCCAAAATCCAAAAACTAAATACACGGTTAGATTCAGCATATTAAAGAACCCCAAGAATTCAAGAATAAAACCCCATTGAAATTGGTCAAGAAATAAGCAATTTATACGAAGTATCTTCTTTTGCACAATACTGTGCAATTAAATATTTCTTGCTATTGCGCAATACTGTACAATTGACAATTTCTTGCTATTGCGCAATATTGTGCTATTGGATATTTCTTGCTATTGCGCAATACTGTGCAATTGAAGATTTCTTGCTATTGCGCAATACTGTGCAATTGAAGATTTCTTGCTATTGTGCAATACTGTGCAATTGAAAATTTCTTGCTATTGCACAATACTTATTATATAATAATTTACACATCCTGTTTGGTGTGCTTCTCCTACCATATCATTATTATTTGCTTTTAAATATTAATCAGAAATAACCAACTTAAAATTGAAAATTTTAAAAGAAAAAAAAGGAAAAAAAGAAAAAAAAGGAAAAAAAAAAAAATCCCCCCCCCCCCAAATTTTTTGAACCCCCTTATGATTCATCACCCCCAAACTCAATCCCAGCCTTCCCTTTGTGGTATGGTACCTTGCAGTACAATTTCAGAGAGATCCATACACTTGAACACAAGTTATTGTCTGGAAACTAGAAAAATGTGTTTTTTGGCCCCTTTTTGGCCCCCAATTCCTAAACATTTAGGGCAATTACCCCCAAACTCAAACGCAGCTTTCCCTTTGTGGTATGGAACCTTGTAGTACAATTTCAGAAAGATCCATACACTTACACACAAGTTATTGTCCTGAAACTAGAAAAATGCTTTTTTTTTGCCCCTTTTTTGCCCCTAATTCCTAAAATATTGAGGCAAATACACCCATCATCAATCCCAGCCTTCCCTTTGTGGTATGGTACCTTGCAGTACAATTTCAGAGAGATCCATACACTTGAACACAAGTTATTGTCTGGAAACTAGAAAAATTCTTATTTTTGGCCCCTTTTTGGCCCCCAATTCCTAAACGTTTCGGCAATTACCCCCAAACTCAATTCCAGCTTTCCCTTTGTGATATGGAACCTTGTAGTACAATTTCAGAAAGATCCATACACTTACACACAAGTTATTGTCATGAAACTAGAAAAATGCTTGTTTTTTGCCCCTTTTTTGGCCCCTAATTCCTAAAATTTTGAGGCAATTACCCCCAAAATCAATCCCAGCATTCCTTTTGTGATATGGAACCTTGTGGTACAATGTCAGAGAGATCCATACACTTACACACAAATTATGTCTGGAAGTTACAAAAATGCTTATTTTTTGCCCCTTTGTGGCCCCTAATTCCTTTACTGTTGGTACCATAACCCCCAAAATCAATCCCAACCTTCCTTTTGTGGTATTGAACCTTGTGGTAAAATTTCATAGAGATCCATTCACTTAAACTAAAGTTAGAGTGCGAAAACCAATGTGTCATCGGACGACGCCGGACGACGCCGGACGACGCCAGACGACGACGACGACGACGCCAACGTCATACCAATATACGACCACAAAAATTTTTTTGCGGTCGTATAAAAATTAGAAAAAAATATAGTTGGTTTAAGGGGAGACAGCTCTTGAATCTTGGTCTAAGATTTTGTTTTTTGTGATTAAATTGAAAATTAGTTTGTGTAAGTACGCAATTACGCTGGAAAGGACTTTTTTCAAAACACAAAGATACCTACAGTATGATCTTTTTAATTTTCAGCAATATAATTGGGTATGTTAGGGCATGGAAGTATTATATTGACTTTCATTTTACTTCCATGGTTAGGGCCACCAATCAATGTGACCTGTAAAAAGGTTTTTTTTTCACTGTTAACCATAATATTTAATAATCATCGATATAAAATATGCTCAATACGAAATACTCAATTATTAAAAATTCAGTGGAATTGGATCGTTTTTGCCCACTTTACATAAAAAACAAACAACTTCATGTTCAATGCATATTCTCAAGTGTATATTTATATACAATCTAGTCAAAACATTAAGTCAAATACAACAGAGAATCAAAATAGTTGAATCCACTCTATAAATTTCGCTCATTTTTTGCAATCGCATTATTCATGATTTCTATCCATTTTTCAGACAGCGAATCGCCCGGATGTACCCCATCAACTAGCTTGTTATAGATGTACCTGATTTTACCCTTACAGCATTTATGAACACAGGTATGAAGAAACGGCGTAATAACATGATTGCCACAGTTAATCCTTGTTATACACTTATTAATTTCATGTAAACAAGAGTTTAATTTCTTTTGCATTTCAAAATAGCTATCACAAGATTTCAAATCTGATGTTTCCCCCTTGCCATATCTATGCATATTCCAAGAAAAGAAACTCATAGTGGTTATTGTTGCAAACACAACTTTGCAGTTAATGCTTCTCATAACATTTTCTATCTCTAAAATAGAAGATTTAAACTTTTCAACGTGGTCAATTTCGTTGCCATTGTTATCACTACTTTGCAAATATAGTTCTTCATGATTCGAATTTCTGTCTGTATCTAGTGAACAAATGTCTTGAATATCGGGGATGAAGTAAACAATATTTTCCCCTTGCACAAACTGAAGTTTAGAATGAGCAATATGACAAAGAGTTTTCAGTTTTCCTCCTGGGACTTGCATAAATTGACAATGCAATCTCCCTTCCATATTTCTTCCTCTACTCGAAGTGAATACAAATGAATGTGGATTCTTTACTGTGAAAAAAAAGGAAATAAATAAAAGAGTTTTTTCAGCGTATGTATGTGGCGAACGCCGCTATACATAAAATAATACGAATAAAATTAAATCCGTTTAATTATATATGCCCTGAAATCCCCAACACGTGCCGGCGTCTGCATAACCTGTCTATACTCGACCTATGGATAGGAATTAGTTTACGATTTCTGGTTAGGGTATTTCACAGGCAACAACGGAAGTTTCACTATCAAGAGTTGTATGCCGTGATTTTTTTTTGGTCAACTTACAGAATTTTATCTTAAAACTTAAATCGTCGCAGGGTCACCTACCAAATTTACATATTAGACCAACTGAAGAACTCGTGTGACCATACGTCTAATTACGTCACTTGCTTTCCAATCGATTAAAACAAACAAAATCTGCATTCAATACAATAAACATAAATAAATATGATATATCTAAATTTAATAATTATGATAAATAAACATAAGTATTTATTTATTATACTATCATATATATAATAGACATGTTTGATCTATACAAATCTATGATTCTACACATTGTTTACCATGTCTCTATAGTGCAAGTGCTTTAAAAATGGTTACCGATTTTCACACGATATAAAAGATCGTAACAACACCACACCACGTGGTGTATGTTATACCCAATAGAAAAGCAATGATTTATTCTTATATAAAATGCATACACACTATAAATAGTAATCAGTAAATTTGTACACTCATTCTTATGACAATATTCAATATAAGTATTAACAATCGCTGTATACTTACAACTGTCTTTTGGTGGTTTCATTTGTGCAACTGTAGTCTTGTCTTCTAACTTCATCTTTTTCCTTTGCGGACTGATCAACATCGGAAGGTCTTCGTCAAATTCTGGCTGTGTGTCAGTCTGCAAAGAACTGCATCTCACTGGCTCTAAAGCTTCTTCTTTGATATCTTCGTCTTCCGATGGGAGACCAGTCGACGATCCTTCGTAATCAGAAGTAATGTCATTTTCATTTTTCTCAGCAGTTTGGCGTAATGGACTAGATGATCCCACTGAGCAGTGTACCTGGGTTGTTTCGACACGGAGTTCCAAATGTGATTTATTAATATACGGTCTTGTAAATGAATTTAAATTGCCATACGAATTATCAATTGATTCAGTTTTAACTTTTATTATTTCTGTCCATTTTTCTGATTTACTTGCAGACGACGGACTACATGTAGTCAATGGAGTCGAATTGTCATAAGAAGTATCGGTTGGTTCTGTTTTAAATCTGTTGTTTTCTGTCAATTTATCTGCGAGTGCTTTTGCGCCTAATACTGCAAAAATATTTCGATCAGATTCAGTAAAAATTTCCTGAGATTTTAGTAAATTCCTTCCACAATTGATATTAGACTCCTGAGATTTCGGTAAATTCCTTCCACAATTGATATTAGATTCCAGAGATTTCAGTAAATTCTTTCCACAATTGATATTAGATTCCTGAGATTTCAGTAAATTCCTTCCACAATTGCTATTAGATTCCTGAGACTTTACATTACTATTCCCGGGGTAATTATACACTTTGTGAGATTTCTTGGAAAAAAATTCTGTATCTCTTAACTCGAGAGATTTTTTATGATTACTAATTGAATGGCTATCTAGTTTCGTGGATCTTTCAGATTTATTCAGATCTTTGCCTGTGTGGTCTACAGTCAAGCTTTTCGTTGTCAGAATATCCCTAACGGAACTTTTTGATTGATCTGTCCATTTTGTTTTCTGAGATAAAACGTTACTGTCAGTCTTTCGGTTTAACAAATAATCATCAATGCTGCTAATACTGTCCCTAACATTGAATGTGTTGGCATCCTGGCAGTAATTGTCTTTCAGTAAAATTGTTTTATCTATTTGTATATTGACCCGAATTTCCGTATACGGTTCTGAGCTTGCCTTCATAAGAATAGTTTTTGTACACATGTCCGCCAATGGAATAATCCCATATGACCTTTTCCGAGAATTCTTAACACTTAATTTCAATTTATCTAAATCTCTTTTGTCTCTGTTTGTTTTGACTCTGTTACTCTCTGTTTTCTTGCATTCGGAATATTTTATCATAGTAACACTGCCAACTTTTTCGGTTTTAGTTCTGATACCGTCTGCTATTTTCCTATGTTGTTTGTCACACTTTCCCGCCATATTCAAACGCAGTGTGTCGTCCGTTATAATTTTCATACATTCAGAATTTTCTTGCTTTCTTTGATCTTTTGATCGATACATCTTTCGCTGTGTCTTCGACCAAAGCTGGAAATAAAAATAAACCGTAAATAACATGTCCCTGATGGTTATTTTTCATGAAATGGTCATCTTAGGCCAAAGGCGGTAATAATATTACTCTAACACCATTTACAGACATCAAATTATGGAAGTAATGTCCATGTGAATGACAGAATAGAATCGTAAAAATGTTTACCCCCGCAGGTGTATATGTAAAATAATACAATACACGTATAAATATAATTGTAAAATCAGAAATGCGTTTATTTATAATATTTTATTTTGGAAACGTTGATTATATTAAAAAGAATTATAAAACATACCAGACATAACTTTCCACGCCTCTAAATAAGGCTCGACAGTGGCGCTCCTACTATAACACGATAGTTGTCTTCAGATTAAAAAAACTTATAACTTCTTCCTTTTAAATAAATTTTTCAAAGTGCGTTTCCTTTTTGAATATATTTACTTCCTTGGTACAAGGGTTTCCTTCTTAAAAAATATTCCGTATGAGGGTTTACTATGCATTAAAACATATATGGTATTGTAATTAAGATTTGCCGTGACATGGCATACAAAATAAGGTTATAAATCTAAAGCAAACAGTACAAATCTGGTCAAATGTATTGTTCCTTGGTCAACATGTCAATGTGGACATATTTAAATACACTAAGACCTCACTTTAGTAAATTATGTAACAATACGTAATGAATCGGATTTTATTGGTTCTTTGAGATAAAATAAATTAATAATAAATCACTCTTTGTACACGAAAGAGAATGGTAATCCCTTAAAAAAAAGTACTCATGAAGCAAGGGATTATCATTCTCTTACAAACTTAGAATATTGTAAAGCGCACAGGCCCAGATAATATCTTGATTTGTTTTAATTTAATCAAGATTTTGTTTGATTGTCAGTGCAAGGTTTATAATAATGCACGACTTCCTTTTTAGGCGTTTCATTTATTGATAGGTCGTGGTAATGTATATAGAGACTATCTTATAATATGGAAAAGTTTATTCTTTTGTGTTTCATGCATTAGATGACACAACAGATACGATGAAATAATAGGTCCTGGTATAGTTTGAGTTTCCTAATTGTAAGTATGAATGTAAATCATGTAATCTATCAATTAGGAAGTATTTTTTCGTTTATTTACAATTCAAATCAATATATTCTAAATTTTACTTAAAACTTAAGTTTTATTCCACAGCCAATATTTGATTCCGAAAAAATTCAAATTGAAATGTTCAAATAAAATGTCTTTATATGAAATTCAATGGTTGATTTAACCCCTATATGTAAATACTATTCTTACCAACCGAGGATTCAGTAATCTGAAGTTTTGTAAGCACATTGTTTTAAGATTTAAGTTATATTTAGTTTAAAGGGTTTTTTTTTCTTTCTTTCCTTTTGCATTGCATTGATTATGTTTATCCTTTACTTTGATTTTGAACTTATTAATATTCAAATCATAACTTTAACGATACCATTTTTTTACTGCACCATAAAACTACAATTAATTTTGTTTTTTGCTTGTTTTAATAAATAAATTTTAAATCAAGTTCAATCCTAAAGTTTAATCCCTTCAAGTTGATAAATAATTTTGGACAGAAGTTACTCATAACCAATTGTTAGTAGGTATAAACAATAGGACAGTCCCTTACTAACAATTCCATTAATCCAGAGCACTTTGCTATATTCTAAATATAATGGTTAAATCTGAAATGTTTTTATTTATAATATTTCATTTTGTAAACGTTGATTATATTAAAAAGAACCAGACTTAAAACTTTCCACGCATAACGCGCGTTTCGTCTATATAAGGCTCAACAGTGGCGCTCCTACTATAACACAATAGTTGTTTTAGATTAAAAACACTTATTACTTCTTCCTTTTAAATGAATTTTTCAAACTCGTTTCGTTTCCAATATATTTACTTCTGTGGTGCAATTAAGGATTTCCTTCTTAAAAATCTTCCGTATGAGGTTTAACCATGCATTTAAACATGTATAACATTAAAATTAAGATTTGCCGTGACATGACATACAAAATAAGGCTATTAATTTGGTTTACTCCTGGTTTGCCCACTTTTAATTACACCAATTATTTATTAGTAAAGAAAACAAAAAAGACAAAAGGTTTAATGAGCATACAATTATATAGTCTGTTCCAACTTAGGTATATAGTTTATCAGTGTTTTCTATATATATTCAGGTATTTTTTATTTTGAAATTCCATTTTCATAAATGTATAGATAAATTATAAATAAATCATATATTTTTTCTCTCAATAATTTAACATACATGTGAAATAATGACACTAGCCTGTTTTAAACGTATATAAAAAAAAAACTAAACAAATTTCGTGTGCAGGGTTTTGGGGCCGCTGAAGGCCTGAAGAAGCTATAGAAAAATGTATGCAAAATCATGCATTCTGCGCATTTCCCAGGACCTTTCTTGATCAAAAATGCAAGTTCTGTTTTAATTATTTTTTGACAATATTTTGGTCTCAAGGCAAAATATATGGTTTCAGTGTAAGACTTTTAGTTTTTAGGGACAAAATCAAAAGACCAATATGTAGGAGAAAGCAAAAACATGTAGTTCACATATAGTTTTATGGATGTGGCTGCTATTTTTTTTTAGATAAAAAATCCTTAAAAAAAATAAAAGTCAAGTTAAAATTTTTTTTTACTAAAATACAAAAGGAAAGCAACACTAAGAGAATAAAGTAAATGTTCCTTAGACAATATATCTAAGTTAAATGAAACCCAGTTTCAGACATTTAATTCAAGTAAATTAATATTTATACATTATATTATTTAAAGATTTGGGAAGTTTTTCCCTAAACATGCATATGTAAACATAGGTGACGACCATTTGATATTGGGGGGGGGGGGGGGGGGGATTTTGAAAATAAATAACTCAACCGTGATAATAAGAAAAAATATGTAGGAGAAAGCAAAAACATGTAGTTCACATATAGTTTTATGGATGTAGCTGCTATTTTTTTTTAGATAAAAAATCCTTAAAAAAAATAAAAGTCAAGTTAAATTTTTTTTTTACTGAAATACAAATGGAAAGCAACACTAAGATTTGGGAAGTTTTTCCCTAAAAAAATGAAAAAAAATCAAATTTTGGAAGAATCTGGTGCCATCTCATACTTTAGAATAGCATTTATAAAATGGCTTAAAAGACCTGCCGAGTTATTTATTTTCAATACATTTTAAGTCAGTTTATTTATTTTCAAACAACTGCAGGACAAACCATTATTTTTTCAGGGCTGAGTTATTTATTGTCAAATTCAATACATTTTCCTGATAAAGGTTATATTAAAAATTTTGAACATTTTCATTGATTTAATAGCATAATATAGTATTTGATAAAATTTTACAGGTAAAATAAAAGGTAAAAAATATGACTATAATTCAGAAATAAACTATAATTGTTAAAACAACAATCCACCCTATGTTTACATATGCATGTAATTAAAAGTGGGCAAACCAGGATGACACCATTAATTTAAAGAGGACATATCGATAAGCAAACAGAACAAACCTCGTCAAATGTATTTTTCTTGGTCAACTTGCCAATGTGGTCACATTTTAAATACTTTAGGACCTCACTTCTCTCAACATTTAGAAATTATGTAACAATATGTAATTAATCCGATTGTATTGGTCCTTTGAGATAAAATAAATTAATAATAGATCATTCTTTTGTAACAAAGAAAGCTTGGATTTAAAGATATTTCATATTTCTACGTGTATCGTATGTCTCTGGTTATAGTTATGTATGGTATGACTCTGATCAAGATACGTTAAGTCCTCTTATAATTTTGTTTGGGAAAAGCCTTTATAATATATGCAATTAATACTAAGTGAAATTAGCTACTAGTATTAAGTATTTAAACAAATAAAAACTAGACGTTCCCACGACTAGAAAATCATCGTTATAAACTGACAAAAAATTCACAGGAACTTGTCTCCAATTTTTTTACCATAATATAACACAAGGTATCCAACTCGCATTTTTGAAAAATGACACTCGGTCGCGAACTTTAGTTATATTTTGATTACAGGCTTTCAATGCCACTGAAACGTTAATATGGTGTTTGACACGCCTAGATTCTGTTTTTGATTTCGTAGCAGCCTTCCAAGTATAGGTATGCAAAATTCAGAGAAATTCCTGTGAAATTTCAGTGAGAGTATAAATAAGCTATGAGATTGTTTTAATCAACATATTAAACATAAACATTTTTGATTGAATAACTATATTTGTATGTTTATTTCGCAGATTGTGACAAAGCTTGTTCTAGATCTACGCGGAGAAGTTTTATCCAGATCTACTCGGAGGACTTTTATGCAGATCCAGATTCACGACCACTCGGATAAGTTTGATCCAAAACCACTCGAAGAAGTTTAATCCTGAAACATTCGGAGAACATTAAGAATAAATGGAGAAAGTGCCCATTGGACATGCACAGATGATGCCCCCGCTTGCATATAACGTTATAAAGGGACACAACTAGAGAACTGTAAGAGTGACGCCACCCAAAATCGAACTTGGTGTGTGTTATGCGGTAATAGGCATTGTGTATAAGTTTCATAACATTTGGTTGATGCAAAAAGTTAGAGAACAGAAACGAAAAAATCAGCATTGTTTTCCGGCATTTATGAACGGGCGTAACTCCAGAACGGTAAAAGTGACGCCACCCAAATTCGTTCTGAATCTGAGTTTTGTGGTAATAAGCATTGTGTATTAATTTCATAACATTTGATTGAGGCAAAGTAAAGTTAGAGAACTGAAAGGAAAAATTCAGCATTTCTTCCACTTTACGAAAGGCGTAACTCCAGAACGGTAAAAGTGACGCCACCCAAATTCAAACTTGAACTGAGTTTTTTTGGTAATAAGCATTGTGTATAAGTTTCATAACATGTATTGAAAGTTTTAAAGATAATTGCACACAAAAAAAACCGGAAAAGAATAGTTAACAAATCCCCATTTTAAGGCAGTAATTTCTATCAGAGGGCATTCAACTTGATAGGGTGGGGTATTCATTTCTGTGTTCTTTAATCTTTAGGCCATTCTTCTCTATTCTTTATTTTCAACCATTATTCTCTTTTCTTTCTATTTTAGCGTCCCACTCTACTTTATTCTTTTGATCCATTTTTTCTATTCTTTGAACTTTTACATTTTATTCTATATCCCCCTCCCCCGATTATTCTATACTGCCCCTCGATCATTCTATATTTTTCTTATTATTCTCTATTCTGTAAACCTCATCCAGACCATTCGTCCTCGACATGCAGAAAATACTTGCCACTGGACGTTAAGCAAGCATCAATCAATCAATCATCCAGACCCTCATATATATGTATACAAGTGCCTATAAATAGCAACAGATAACATACAAATCTATTTGAGTGTGGATTAATCAGTACAAAGATTAATACAATTTCACAAATGAAATTATAAATTGTCTAACAATGTAATTTTAACACACTATTTAGTATGTAAATATTAAAATGTTAAAAATATTTACAATGTGATAAAACATAAACGCAATATTTCGCTAGACAAACTAGCTTCATTGAGCGTACATCTATCCAGTTGAAATCGGATGCAGCTCATTGTACATGAATTTTGCTGCCTTGTAAATAATTCAAAGTTTGGATGAAGTTCAAGATTATTTATTTAATTACGAAATTTTTGGTTGAAGTTTGCAACGTCCATTGGCCAATATTACAGAGATATAAAGGACGATGCTGTATAATTGATTATTCTTTATCTTTCCTGTATCTTTGAGCGAAGATGTCTTGTGAGGGGGCAGTTTTTTGTTGGCCGTTTTTTTCATCAGCTCCTTTACATTTAACAAAGTTATAATATCTACACAAATTCCAAATGTAAAACGGAGAACTCAATTTATGTATTAACATGTAACACATCACTGAAAATTTAAATTAGTCACTATGACTATTCAGTTAGTCAAATATTAGCCGAAAGGTAGTCAACAGCATATATGACTACCCATCAAGTCATTATGACTACCTGCATAGTCAATTGACTATGTTAGGTGGTCACAACACCACGTGGTGTAGAGTATCGGTTTTCACGCGCACTCGTTCGCGTTCCCTTTGTTCCCTAGATCGTGTAGATGTAAACAAACCAGGAGGCACGAAACTGCTATTTTGTCAATTAAACCAATTGTTTAAAGTAAGTATCATGTACATTTGTTTTAATTCTAACTTACAAAAATTAAATTTGAGAAAAAGAAGTGTAATGAATGTAATATATCGGCACATGTTGACGTAAATTAATGACAATACAAAACAGAGGGAGATATGTATACGGGATATCAATTTTGATACACATACAACGTATTTTTGGTTGAAAAGAGTATTTAGCGATATCTATTTTTCACCTGATCAAAAACTGTTAAAAATAAACACTGCAATCGATATTCACAACAATGAATTAAAAAAAAAACCTCAGGGTGGCTGTCAAGATCCTGGTGCTTACATTGCAATGGTGTGGTATAAGATGGGTGGCTGTCAAGATCCTGGTGCTTACATTACAATGTTGTGTTATAAGATGGGTGGCTGTCAAGATCCTGGTGCTTACATTACAATGTTGTGTTATAAGATGGGTGGCTGTCAAGATCCTGGTGCTTATATCACAATGTTGTGGTATAAGATGGGTGGCTGTCAAGATCCCGGTGCTTACATTACAATGTTGTGGTATAAGATGGGTGGCTGTCAAGATCCTGGTGCTTACATTACAATGTTGTGGTATAAGATGGGTGGCTGTCAAGATCCCGGAACTTACATTACAAAAGTGACAAAATCACTAGATCAAAGATTTTTTAACATGACTGATATACTTGTTTATTGTTATATTTTAGCTTCTAAAATGATATAATTATATTTTTCAGCAAATGAAGCCATTGCTATTTGTATGAACACAGCTGAGAGATTTTTGACCAGAGAGATTATTACACTGACACAGTTGATAGCGAAAAAATATCTGAAATAAACACTTCAAATTAACAATGAGTTTATAATAAATATATTTTCTTTATTTGATTTTTAGACTTTAATATATGTCACTGAGTAATGGTAACACATGAAAATCATGAAGATATAGGAAGGTTTTGAACATTGAGCACTTTGTGGTCCTATACGGTTTCGATGTTAGTTTTGCGGTTGTGGTATTTTTAATAATATTATATTCCAGATGTATTTGTCAATCATATGGAAGAGAAACAACAAAAAGTAGAATAACAGAAGAATGAAACATAAAAGTACAAAACGGATAGAAACACACACAAAGTAAATTGGTGGAACAAAAAACACAACACAAATTAAAATAACAGTCTAACAGTCGTGACTATTCACAGTAATCATGTTGACTAAACAACATGGTCACTTTCGACTATTTCAATAAGTCATATGGACTGCATTCAATTGTCAAACTGACAAATGTGCATAGTCAATTGAACAATCCAATTCGTCATAACGAGTATAACATATGGTCATTTTGACTTCCAAACATAGTCATAATTACCACTCTACTCAGTCAAATGTGACTACCCATCTAGTCAAACGACAAAGAGCATAGTCAAAATGATTAAAGTGCATTGTCATCTAGAGGACAGTCAAAATGACCAATTAAATTGGTCAAATTGACTAATTTATGTTTTCAGTGCATGTGACATTCAGTACGTGGGAGAAACAATGGACAAATTTAATATTCGGCCAAATAACCATTGATCATGGTACAAAACCAACAAAAACTGTCCCCTCACAAGACATCTTCGCTTAAAGAAACATTGATTATGTTACTTTCCAAAGTATAGAAGTGAACACGGGTTATGTTCTTCTCGTATATTTTATGATGGTGTGGTGCTGGGCCCTGGCGGGAGGAATTGTGCTTGATTTTCGTGTTGTGGAGACATAATGTTTCGGTCGGTTTAATTGGGGTCTGGGGCTGGCGTGTCGATGGCTGCTGGTGGTCCATTGTTGATTTGTCATGTTTGTGTATCGTTGTCGTTTTGCTTGGTTTCTTTGGTTTCTCGCTGTTCTGGAATCGGGCTCGGGCTTCTTTTGGGCTTAGTTTTGCTGTGCTTGTTGCTGTGTGTTTTTTTTTTCTGCATTGGCTGGAGGTGGGGGAAGGGTTGGGGTCTCGCAGGGCATGTTTGGCCCCGCCGCATTTTTGCCGCCGCATTTTTTGTGCCTGTCCCGGGTCGGGAGCCTCAGGCCTTTGTTGGTCTTGTATGATTTTTAATTTTAATTCAATTGTGTGTTTTGGAGTTAAGTATGACGTCCATTTTCGCTGGACTAGTGCACATTTTTGTTTGGGGGACAGCTGGGGCCCGCCTCCGGGTGCGGGGTTTTCTCGCTGTGTTGGGCACCCGTTGGTGGCCTTCGGCTGTTTTCTGCTCTTTGGTCGGGTTGTTGTCTCTTTGACAGAATACTTTTGGATCTACCAGCTGCATACTTTAGAACCTGATGGGCGTAATGAAAAAGACGAGAAAATATACAGGAAAGATAAAGAATAATTAATTATACATCATCGTCCTTTATATCTCTGTAATATTGGCCAAATAATCTTTAACTTCATCCAAACTTTGAATTTTTTTACAAGGAAACAATGAGCTGCAAAATTTCTTATCTGCATCCGATTTCACCTGGATAGATCCACGCTCGATGAAGCTAGTATGTCTAGCGAAATATTGCGTTTATTTCTTATCGCATTGTAAATAATATTTTTAATATTAACATACTAAATAGTGTGTTAAAATTACATTGTTGGGCAATTTTTATATTTATATCATCAGGGTTGACTATTTTATTTGGGAACCATATCTTGTAATTTTTTGCTGTTACAATTTCTCTAATTTTTTTATAATTTCTAGATAATATCATGGAAATAATATTTAAAAGGAATAACAACGACTAATTAGCATGTATTAACAGCCTGCAGAGCTCTGTTCTAAAGTCATATGATTTTATCCAATTATAGTCTCAGCGGCAAGACCCCTTTGGTTACTATCTGTGATACCGCGGTTGTAAAATGGCATCTGGAATTTCTTATCAGTCACGTGATTTTATCGAGTCCGGTAATTATAAAGCACCTGTGTGAAATCCGAGGTTTATTAATAAGACGGTGGCGCTGTATCATATAAAACCTCTACCTTCAGAAAGAAGTCGTATGATGTAAAAAACTTGAAAAACGGACGAGAATTGTTCAACCTACAACAGTTTAGCATGGAAAATTGTATTTAATTTAGCATATTTTTGCTTTTTACCGTTTGTTTTAAACTGTTCTAAAAGTATTTTCCGGTTAAAAGCGGGTCCCGAGTAAAACAGTTAAATACCGATGAATCGATCAGGTTTCACATGATGTTTAACAAAATAATGTAGACAAATCTAGACATAGATTTTTTTACTGTTGAAATGTGCAAAGTTTATCGAGAAGTATTCTAAATTTATGTAATACTATATGTCATAAATGTCATAAATGTCATTGATTACATTATTGAAACTGGACAGCTAGGGATAATATGTTCGTAAACACATATTTTTTTAAGAAGTGTCTATTGTGGAATACTTGTATTAATATAACAAGCTGCAGCAAAAATTAAAACGAACCGACAAAATGAGCTTGACGCTATCTGTCTTGCGGCAAATTCATTTTTACACGAATTATTTTATGTATCAAGAACTATAAATTAAAGGATAGAACAGTTTAGAATTGTGATATTTCAATTGACTAATACACGAAAGACTTAGACTTATTCGTATTTAATAAAAGGGAGTCCAAACGTATTTTTTGTACAATCATCTTGAAGTTCTTAACTTACGGAAATGACCTTTTAACTGTCTGTAAATATTAAAATTGAAAATGACCCAGCCTTGTTCTCCAACTTCATATGTGATAGCTGTCGGTACTATTAAGATCGAACTAACCAGAAATAGGGAAATTGGACTAAAATAAAAATTGAACGAATGACTCTATTCGGCAGCGTACATCAACGGAATGTAACGAATGGACTATTCGGGTTACTTCGCACGTATATACGACAAAAACTTGTCTGTTCGTAGTTTTCCGTGAACACGAAAATGACCGAAAAGTGTCAGTGATTTGATCGATCACATGCGGAGAATCAACTTCCATGCCAGATATTAAATCAATTAACGAGTTATCGAAAGATGGGCGGTAACGCAGATGAAACCTTTGAAGTGACGACGTTGTTATTCCTTTCAATATTACTTCCATGATAATATATAGTCAAAATCGCAATAATAACTTAATTTACTGCTGTTTTCAGTGTCTCTCTTTTATAGTTTACAGCATTATTACACAAAAAAACTACCAGTTATAATTAGTAATGGATAAAAATCGCCATTTAAGGACAATAATACCTATGAGCAGTCGATGGAGAATTTCAATTCTGTTGAATTAATTGTGAATCTTGAGTTTTTACAGTCAGTCCTCCATTAAAAAATTATTTGGCGTCATATTAGTATTTCCATTG